TATGGATCTTATTTTTTTTTGACATTTAAAGTACCTATATACTTGGACATTATATACATCGGGTACATTTCGATGTATTTGTATTGGCCCGTACTTATTTTTCCGACCATTTCAACATAATACTGGCCATTTTATGTATACATTTCTCACATATACATTTTTTTTTTTTTATCTATTTTTTATGGGAATTATTTACGACGCAATACGCGCAGACGAAATTACCAGTAAAATTCGCACGTCCGAGCACTAAAGTGGGTTATTGCGTAGATATCTTTTTCCGATGATGTTTAAAATAGAGGTACGCGAATTGGTTCCCGAGTTCATAATCTACATGATTCCCGTTTGAAAAAGGTATTTTATTAAGGTGAGCTGGATTGGTTCCTCGTTTAATGCTTACATTTATGCAATAAACACACTAAATTTAGGTATAATATAGAATATTTTTAAACGTTTATTTAAATTTTATCACACTACGGCGGGATATTTTACGGTAATCGTTGATAACTTATCAAGATGACAAAATAGTGTTAAATCGGCGTATTGCCGAGATACCGCAATCGATTAAGGTAACGTCAATCCGTCTGGATGTACGCGTATCTGTATGGCTACGTATTACGTATACGGGATATAAAATATAAAAATGTTTCTAGTATAAAATCTAAGTAATATTCTAATGAGTTGACAGTCTTAAGCCTGTGCGAACGGAAAGGGAAATGTGCGTGTTCGACTATCTTACTGCGAACAATGGAATCCAATATTCGACCTGCGGCAGTGGGCACATCAACGAATTCGGCTAAATGGGAACCGATTCGGAGGGGTAAATCATTTGCGCACCACTATTGTTCTGCTCGATCTTTTTCGTAAGACATGCGCGCACCGTTAAGTGGTTACAGGGCCGTACGTCGTTTGCGCATCAATATGTTTAACAACAGAGGGCTGAAAGGGATTAGGATTGCCCGAAAACACAAATTGTTACCTAACTTTCAGCTTAATTCAGTATTAATAATTTTTGAATGTAGAACTTATTTTCAAATGCGCATTATCGGTGTTATAAGACGCGTAAAAGATATAAGGTATTTCTGATTTCAAAATATGAGCTGTACATAAAGTACAATACATACAAAAACACATTTGGATAAGTGTATCACAGGACAAATAAACAGGTTTCATTTTATAAAAATAATTGGTCATTATAGCACGCCAAACGATACATTTTAACTGTGTTATAGGTTAGGTTAGATTAAGACGATTTTCGTTTTAATAAATTGCATTCGACATTGTACTTTTTGTATTATTATTATTATTATTATTATTATTTTTTTTTACCTACCTATTGTAAACGGACGGTGCGCAAATGATGACCGCCGAATTCGGATACATCCTTTTAAAATCGTAAATGTAATGTAATGTTTTTGTTTTTTTTATGCTTTTCCGTTTTCTTGGTCTCTATTTTTTCCACGATATAGTAGAATATTATTACGTTTGTTTGTCGTAGGTGCCTATACGCGGAGTGTTATGCGTTCTGTTATTATCATTACGGCCGTGTATATTTCGTGCAACAATATAATAGCCGCGCGACGGACGAATGCGGCGGCGGAACGGCACGTTGCATACCTCTCTACCTATAAAAATGCACGCAGTCACCGTACGTCGTTTAAAATACTTTGCGCGCAATTATTGTCGGTATATTTTATACGAACATATTCCGTATTATACATTATAATATATAGGTTTAGGTGTATCGTATTGTCGTCGTCGTTATATTATATTATTGTTGAGGTATTTTTATAGATAGGCATTGTAGAGAGAGAGAGAGAGAGAGAGAGAGATACACGCACCGTCATCGCGCCCCGACGACACGTCAGAATCCCCCGAAAATCCCGAAAAATCGTATAGAGGTACTCGGGTACCAGCGTATATTATAATAACCACTACGTACAACGACAATCGATTATGTCTGCGCGCGCGTATAAAGAAGAATTAAAATAAAATAATACATACATAGTACCTATGGGTATATCGTCCGACGACGCGAATAAGAAACGACCACGACCCTCTTTTGTGCGGCCGAAGTGCGCGGGACAAAAAAAAATAAACAACAACGAATATAATGATCATTAAAAACGATAAAAACGACAAATACAATATACAAGTCGGTATAGGTATTATTATTACGGAGGTATATACAATATGTAATAATATTATACGGGTCGGGCGTGCAGCGGCGGCGGCGGCGGCGGAGAGAAACAAAAAAAAAAAAAAAACAAAATGTTATCGCATTTTCGTTTTTAATTTAACCGAAACAGATAATAATACCGTCGGTTTAAATTCACTTAAACGAGTATATAATATAAGTATGCTACTATAGACTTTTTACTTCTTCGGCCGTTTTTTCGCCGCCCAGCCGCGGCTGCAGTACGGGGCGACGTGGCTGGGCAGGGCATTGTTAAAACTGCAAAACTGCAAAACTGCGGCGGCGGCGGCGGCACGGTGATAAATCAATTTCTTCGCAAATAAATAATTAGTAAAAACGTACCGCTGACAGTATAGGTAGTTACCTGCCTACATAATATTATTACGAGTATTATAAAACATTGTTTATATTCGTATTATTATAAGAACGGCAAAAAAAAACAAAAAGTACAAATGTCGATTTTCTGTTTAAAAAAAAAAAAAAATTTTTTTACTCGTATTCGCGGTACCCGTATCTTATATAATAATAATAATAATATGAAAACCGACTGCTGTGGCGGCGGCGGCGGCGCGGTCTATGAGCGGCGTGTATTGTCTTATTGTATTCTGGATGTAAGTATATAATACGTAGGTAATTTACATACAAGTTTATAGTTTGACCAGTGCTGCTGCATGTGTAAGGATGTTATAATAATAATAATAATAATAATAATAATAATACGTAATATTGAAACGATCCGGAGGAGAAACATCATGAGAAAATAGATACAGGTACGTATCTTATAACATATAACAGTATTAACAATACTAATGGTAGGTAGGCGCATGAGTCGTGTTTTTTTTTTTTTTAATTTATACAAATAATTATATATTTTTTCGAGTAATCGAGCGTACTTATTATTATAATGTACAATTATTATTTTTTATCCTTGAAAGTGAAATAGTTAATTTAAATATGAGTATAAACGAACTAACAATATACCTACAACGAGTGTACTACAGGTGTTTGGTATAAAGAATCAATATTAGCTTGTGAAGACGATGGAGTCATTTTAGTCAATACCAGACAAGTTATTACTCCTCTCAAACTCCAACTCTTGGCAGTTAGTGAAAATAATGGGACTATGCGTTAACGAAAAAAAACTACTAAATGTATATGGTTCTCTCCAGAAGAGACAATATGATCAGCCTAACCTACAAGTTGACAATTTTATATTTGGAAACGTGGACAATTTTAAGTATCTGGGAGTGAACACAAATAGTAGTAAAAATGATATGTATTGAGAAGTAAGCGAGGTAATTTCAAGAGAGAACAAGTGCTTTCATAAATTACTTAAATCTAAATTATTATTAAAAAAGTCAAAAACTTTACACTGTACGAGCTATCTGAAATTAATGGCCAACTATATGCGTACAAGACAAGGCTTACAACAAAAGGTGACAATAAAGTATTAGTGATGTTCGAAAAAATAGATTTTGAGACACATTTTCGGCCCAGTGCATACAGAGTAATAAACGGAATTAAGGAAGTTTGAAAAAAGAAAAAATGACGACCTTTACAAGTGTATAAGATTTACGTAAAACCACATATATATTATCATATCTGAGAACCAAGAGAATGGAATGGTTGAAGGGCAGAAAATCATATCTTTAAAAAATCTTAATTGAAAAGACCACTAGGTATTAGGTTTCATGAACGAGATGAAAAGATGCTGTGGAGAAGGAAATTTGGACGATGTATACAAATATATCGGTCGAACTGGAATTCGACAGGGATAGATTAAAATGATTGTTTGTGGCAGCTCAGGTTCTACAAGGACCGTTAAGCTAAGAAAATAAGAAGAAATTTAAGTGTTAAGTATAGATAGACCAGTGCTGACATTGATAAATATTATGCGCCTCGGAACAAAATTGATTTTCCGTCCCTTACTACACTTATTAAATGGTAACTGTAAAAAAAAGTTAGAAAAGCTCACTCTACGGGCAAGCAAACTTTTCGGTTTCTAAATATATTTTTAACAATAAACTATAATTCCGTTTAAAATGTTGAAAGAATTTATTAACCTAGTGTATGTAAAGCTTATGTGCGCTAAAAATCTAAATAAATTAAATATCTCAATATGTATGTACAGCGAAACTTTCATTTAACGGTCATCGAAGGGACCGGAAATAATGAACGCTATGTGTATAGGTATATAGGTATATGTATATGTCTGGCGAGCTGACGAAAATATTATAAAAAAATGTCTTAATCAGAAATGTAACAAAAACGCGGCCAAGAGGTAGACCTCGCCAGAGATGGTTAGACAGGGTAAAGAAGGATATTTTAAATACTGACAACTCAAAACGATTAGATGACGCAATGGACCGGAATGGATGGAGAAACGTGGTGGAAGCATGCAAAAGGCCTTAAAGGCCTGTATAGCTTAGAAAAAAAAAAATATGTATAGGTACCGACCTTTAGAGGTGTCCTATTGAGCCATAACACTTGACGGGACCAAAAAAAATGACCTTTATATAGAGGTGATATGACATCATGACGTCTATGACATATTTCACCGGACTCCCAAACAGTTGCATTTAGGTACAGTAATATCAGTCAACCCACGTGACACACACAATTATCTTCACTCTTCGCATTCGACTGAATCGTATTATTGGATACCCATTACGGTCTGTCTTAAAATATTGTAATCGTCCGACGCGTCGCACACGAGCACGCACGTTGTAAAAAATCAATCAAACCGTACGCGGTAAAAACAAAAAACGAGTATCTGCGTAATATCGACCGGCCGATGCGATAAAGTTTAAACTATAATAATATATGCATTCAATTAAGTCGTAAAATATTGTAACAGCGGTATAAAGTTACAAAACGGTTTGGAATCTGAACCGGAGCGGCGGCGTATCGGGGACCGGTAATAAATCGATCACAATAATGGTAATGGATCGTGATAAAAGAATCGCCCTGTATAGCGTGTATACGCGGCGAAATTGCGCAAGCCGCAGCAGTGGTTTATTAGATCTGCGGTATGACTCGTGAGGTATAATACATTATATTACATTCGTTGTCATCGGATAAACCTACCACCACGTCGACTTAGTGTAAAAAAAAAAAAAAAAAAAAAAAACGAAAAAAAAAAAAACCACAGCATAAAAGTAGATGCTATATACAGTCTCACTGATTTAACATCGACAGCCCAGTCATTAACTCATCATAATAATAATAATAATAATAATAATATCTCGACTAATGGGGGACAACGGCCGCTGTAAGGTGCATTCATCCGAACCCTGTCATCACTACGGTATACACAACACGCGGACACTCGAACGGCGACGGTTCACGAAATCGTTGTCGATTCCTAATATTGCTCATATTTTATATACTCCCGGGCATTCCGGATTTTTCTTTTTGTTTTGTTTTGTTTTTTTTCGGTTTTTATTATTATTTTTCGCAAACGTCACCGTATTATTATTATCATAACACTCGGCCGGGGAATCGAACGCGATATAGAAGTCTTGTGTCAAATATTACGTCACTACTCACCGGATGGTACCCCGGGTATTTTAGAAACGATTATAATTTCCTAATACTGTTCGTTATTACTCGTTATTATTATATTACTAAATAGTATTTTCAGCCTCGAACGGAAATTAAACTGATTGCAGATATAGATACTTGTAACGCGCGATTAAAATGTAATATTGTAAAACTCATCACTCGCATGTATACATTCAGTCATTGTTATTGAATTTCGCTCTGTTCTTTTCTTCTTTTGCTCGGTTCCGGTCTTTATGACACCATTGTACACCGTGAAATACAAAATCTTCACTGCAATCCCTGTTCTGTGCAGTTTGTGGGGTTTCCCGTTCCATCCGTCTTAATATCCGCAATATTTCCATTTTAACCTTGCAGGTGTCCCTAAAGGCCTTTTTTCTACAAAATGATTGCCTCGTCATGTATTAACAGTTATACAATTTATGAATTATGTATATTATGAATATAATTATGATTAACTAATTTTTCAGATATGGCACGCCCACATCGACCTTCTTTTAGCGCCCTCTTTATAACTATATATAACAGGGCCTTTGGAAACGAAATTTAAATTATTTCTTGGTTTTCCTTTTTATTTATCACAGCCATGGCCCACGGGTTTCCAAAGAGGGCGTGTTTTCAGGAAAAAAGGGTATTTACGTAAAACCTTTTAACAAAAAAGTAATGAAAAATACAACATACATAGAAATAGAATGTAAATTATACAGGGTTATTTAGTCTGTATACTGTACGCAACGATAAATCATAGGAAACAAAAAAACGACTTTAAGTGGAATAGCATTATTAGTTTTAGTATTTTTTTTCCTTCGTAACCAACAGGTTCAAAAATAAAATTGACAATTGTATAGTTAGTTTTAAATATTATAGAAAAACTTTTGGGAATCTAGACAATTTTTTACAATTAAAGTACTATGATGGAGAGAAAAATCGGCATCTTTTTTAAAAAAAAAAGAACATGGATGAATTTTTGATAATTTTGATAAATGCCGAAACATTCGCATCATTCGATGTAGTGCGTGAACAAATTGGAAATTCGCCTGACCAAAAAAAAATTAAAAACAAAAAAAAAAAATAAAAACAAATAGACCTATTATACTTGTTGGAAATAAATAAATAAACCAATACAAAACGAATAAAGTACCGTCGGACGAAAAATCCGTACATTGTTTACACTCGGAATCTAATGTAATACATTGTCCCCTCCCCTTCAAACATTTTTAAAGATGGACGCCCTTGATGTAGATGTCTATGAGAACGAGTAAATTGTGGATTGAAACGATACATTTGAGTTTACGAAAACTATTAAAACCGCGATGACGGTAATAATTATATTATATATGAGTACCGATAGAGCATTTTTATAATTGACGTCGAACGGGCCGTAATTATTATTAGCTATAGTCAGTATACTCAACAATAATTGGATTACACAAGACGATGACAAAAGTACATAATATAACATACAATTTCGAAATAAAATAAAAAAAAAAAAAAAATAATAAAAAAAAAATAGTAATAATAATAATGAGACATCACGTTTAGTGATTGGTATACATGCGAGTACCTACTTATATTATTTTGATCTAATCAATCTCGCGAGATAAGTGTGGGAAAACGGGTTTTTTTTTTTTTTTTGTGTGTAAACTATTTTTCAAGAGTTTTTCCTCTCTTTTCTTTATTATTTCGTTTCTTAGATTCGTGATGCGCGATCACATAGATTTACACACGGCGAGAAGTATAAGTATAGCAACGTAATTATTATTTCTGGTTGTATTCCGGTGCGATGAGGGTATTATTATCGTCCCGAGGGACGTGCCTATACAGTAACGGTAAACATAATACAATATATATATATATATAAATAAATACGTTCCGAATGACATTTTAGTTCGACTCATTGACTGTCGCGAGAAACATATTATTATTATTACGATGTTATTACGACGACGACGATCATTACAAAAATAACGTCGACAACGTCCATTTATAGGTAGGTAGATACTTAGTATTTTTACTGCGCTTCGGTATTTTAGAAATTTCATAGTGATTTCGATAATTCCGTGTCGAAGACTACGACGCCGAGATTGATACAGCTAATTATTCATCACTAGGAGAAACGAATGAAAAAAAAAAAAAAACGAAAACGGTAAAAAATCAGCATACACAACACTTAGAATCTTGAAAAGCAGCTCAAAATGCATTCAAAATACCAAAAGAAGCACTGAAATACCGGAAACGTAATAAACCAGCATGTCTTATCGAATGTATAGACACCTTAAGATTTTGAAATAAGCAAATTTTATAAAGTTTAGCTCGTGTGAAATGTTTTAAAAATTATATAAATTATAATCATTATATTGGTTTAATACAAATTTCGCGTACACGAAAAAATAAAATAAAATCAATAATGTCGAATAAAAATAATGAAAAAATCAAAGAAATCCAAATTGTTTGTACCCCTAGTATTATGGGCCACCAATGTAGATGGAAAGGTCTGTTGCTATAAAAAAAAACGAATCTCAACGGAGTTCGGTAAAGTGGTACGGTTAGATGACTATTAGTCGAGTTTTTCCCCTTGTAATAGAGAAAAAAGTAAAAAAAATCTACAATACATGGTTATTTTGAAATAAAGTAATAATAACTGGATTCTGGAGAAAATGTTCAAATAAAGCGTATCGTCGAACACATAATTTGAATCTGCATTTAATAGGTAATATACGTACGGTATGAACGACTCGTACCGCGTAGAGTTTTTACTAACCGAAAAAGAAATACAATATCTTTGTAAAGCTCGGGAAGTTTCTTGTTCTTGACACAGAATCGAAAAAAGTTTCGAAACTGATGTACATTATGGTGTATATTATATAGTAGGGCGGTCCTTATTTTTGAGATTTCAAAATTTCATTCCAGGTGTGCCCGCCAATTTATTCTAGTACCGCAAGGAAATATTTAGCCGAAATTTCATTATGATTATACTCGTACCTCGTTCACATCCCTCGAGAGGGTCGACTAATCGCCAATAATACATAATATCGCGTAGTTATATGTACTTTTTTGCACCGGGAACATTTTGTGTTTACTACAACATACATATGCAGAAAGTCATAATATTATACGTCTTGCGTAATCTGCAGGTACAAGAAAAAAAGTAAAAAAAAAATAAAAATACGTTTGCTGCAAATTCACGAATATATATATATATATATATAATAATAGTATACAATAGTATTATAACATTTTATGAGCACGGTGCAGCGGCTACGTATATCAGGCTAAAACGCGCGCGGGGATTTTAACGCACGAACGCTTTTTTATAATATTATTATTAGGCGTTTCGAAAACCGATCAAAAAGTTTTTCGCGATCGCCGCCGCCGATTAAGTCGATATATGTATATAATATTACATATTATTATTAAAAGGTGAGCTGCGTATACAAGCTGCTGGTATGCGAGACACATATTATACATACGTTGTGTATATTATATAGTATAGGTATCGTGTGTGAAGTATAGGTTTAATTTAGTGCGGCCGCGGAGGGCGGGCGGGAGACCGGGCACCACGCATCATTACCTCTCCCTTATCCCGTACACACACACACGCGCGCACACACACACATACTGTGTATATTATAATAATAATATTATACGCGGCGTACACGCGTATAGTTGCATATAACCCGCCTGTATGTACCGACGACGACGACGACGACGACGACGACGACGACCCGTATAGATATTACTATTATTATTATTATTATACAGGAAAGTCGATTTTATTTTCATAAATGAGATTCGTTAATCGTACTTATCGCGTTTATATTTTATACACACGTGCGTGCGTGTGAGTGTGTGTATATTACGATGATTATAGATCTGCGATATTTTTCTATTCATTTTTAATAGACGCTCCGCGGCGTACACGCGGTGGCCGGTGCCCCTCGCCCGGTATATACCTAATATTACCTATAGCTCTCTCTCTCTCTCTATATACTACCTACCTATACGTTGTCGTTGTGTGCTCGCGGAATAAATTGGTTCGGCGGTGTTAGCACACACACGCGCACACCCATACGCACACACACGTAAATATTACGAAATTATATAGACACGCGGTCTATATAATAGTGGGTATATGTGTATGATAATAATTGGATTCCGAAAACCCGGGCGAATTGCCGCGGTGCGTGTATAGAGCCGCCGCGATATTATAATATTATTATACGTATACGCCGAAATTAGCGAATATTATATTATTAAAATATATATAATAATAATAATAATAATAATATTTAGGTTTGTGTTCGATATTTAATCGATCAGAGGCCTTGATATGAGCGCGCGATGATGGCGGCGGCGGCGGCGGCGATCGCGACGATGACCGCGATTAGCGTCGAGCATTTTTGTTTCTCTCATAATAATAATAATAATAATATACCTATCTGTATACGGATAAATAATAATATTTAATAAAATATCTCGTTTA